TTGGCATTTTTTACCTTGCTATACAACAGTGCAGAAAGTGAATTGGTAACACACTGCTTTCCACTTAAGTCACCAAATCTTGTATCACCTTGATTGAATGTCCCTTGGGCAACAAGCGTTATTTGTGTATCGACTCTCGTGCATTTGTCTTTGTGATCACTTTCAAGGGTTTCGTCCTTGGTGTTACGTTCGTTGTGAACGACTGATTCAGACTGATTACTTGCACACTGTTCATATGTCATGTCCAAAAGATTTGCAGTACCTTTCCTCTCATCGTGATTTATCGTACCAGTCTCCAACGTGAGCCTACGTTTTTTTCCCTTTGGATCAACATGGTTTTGAAATGTTTCAGGAGACTTATCCACTACTTCATCAATTTCTTCCTCTATCTGCGCTTGGATCTACACTTTTTGAACTCATGCTTTACTTTAACATCAGCCTGAATTGATGGACATGGCAAAGTTCTCTTTGACGTTCTATCTTCTTAGTTGTTCTTGTCTGTTCCAATGAATTGAAATTGACAAAATCTACAGATTCAACAACATTAAAATGAACATTTCCTGTGTACAGTATATAAATTCCCTTATCAGATGTTACAATATTTATTCTTCCAGGTTTCTTTGCAGAGAACAATTGCCAACATGGTACTTGGTCATTGTATGAATAAATATCAGTATCGATTAAATTTGCTAAAGCGCTAATTTCAGTGTCTGTAGCCCACGTTCCGTCTTCCTTTATTCTACGTTTCAAAACATATTCTCTGACTGTTCTATATTCTTGCCTGAATGTATTACTAAACATGTCCTTGGTTTGCAATAAATGTTTCACAGTGGCATTTCTTAGAATTGCATGATTACGCTCAGTTCCAGAAATTACATAGGAAATTGCACGAAAGAAACAATTGCCATCACCAGTAATTTGTTTACTCTGTAAAGGAACTCCAATACAGCTATTTCTATCTAACCTTGAATCACAGCCTTTGCCTATATATCTGATATTCAGTTTTGAACAAATGTTCCGTTTGTCATTATTCTGGAGGGGTACAAATTTAAAATCTTTATCTGGTCTGTCACGTAATCCAAGATCTGCTACAAATTCAACTTCTGTTTCTGTTTCATCAGTACATGTGTACATATTAGCATCTATTGCCTTTTCAATGTCTTCATCTTTGATATTTGAATCTGAAGAAGATTCTAAAGGATTCCTTGAATGAGCATGATCATTAAATGACATATCAGTATCATTGTCTGTACCATCTTTTACTGTATCAAAGCTTCTATTCTCCAGGTCATTGTCAAACACTGCATCTTCTTGTACACCATCTGAAACATCTGAAAAATCATTTTTCATCATATCATCATTTTCCAATACCGATTCACAGACATTGTCTACTGGTTCATTTATGGGCATATCTTTTGGTCTATCACAAACATTCAAAGGCATATTGCGTTCTGGTAAAACACTTCTATCGCATAAATCACATCCAGGACTTGTGTCTGTATCACTATCAGATTCTATACAATTTCTTGCACACGAACGTTTCACTGGTATATGAACATCACTGCCACTATCATCGTCCGTTTCAATTTCCCCATTTTCATCAAAATTTGATTTCAACAGATTATTCTTTGAATCGTCCTGCACAACTCCATCTGAACCTTTGTTGTCTTTCATATTGCAAATATGCTGGTCTGAGTGTGTATCATTTTTACATGTATTTGTATCAAGTCCTTGGTCACCTGCATTCATCGATATCTTTGTATCCTGCTTCTCATTCTTTACTGCTAATTCTATTCCTTCATCTTTGTCAAATCTAATCTCCGATTTATCAGAAGAGTGATTTCCATCAGTACCTTTTTTCCCTTTGGAAGACTGACCTTTCTTGTTCCTTGCTCGACCTTTCTTGTTCTTTGCTTCTTTTTTCTTGCCACCAGCATGAACTCTGTACTTTCGCAAATCCTTGATCTGTTCAAAAAGATTACAAGTACATACATCGATATCAACACATGTATCTGTTCTAGATTGAGTTGGCAAATTGCTTGCTATGTCTGCCCAGGATCGTGTTTGTGCTGTTTCACTTTGCACACACATGTCATTATACAACTTCATTGCATGTGGGGACTGCACACTGTAGGCATATAAACCTAAAAGAGTTTCTGTGTAAGATTGAACACTGATATCTTTTTTCTCGGATTTCACCTTCTTTTCTTTACAATCAACTTTCTTTCGGTCTTCCTTTTTTTTTCTGCTATGGCTTTCATAGAATGTCTTCATTGCTTTGCCGATGTAAGTTACACCAGGTTCTAAGACTTTGCCATTCACGATTTTCTTCTGATTTTCCTGTCTGTTTGATGATCATCTATTGATTTGGGATACAATTTTCTTGATTTTAGTTTCTCCACCCATTTCGTCTTCCTTGATTTCACAATTACCCAGTCATCCTCAAATTTTTCATTTTGCATCTCTTCGTGTTCTATTTGGGATGATTTTCCATAGCCAAAGGATTATGTCTATCAGACTCATTTGTTTTCCTGTCAGTTATATGATGTTGTGTTCCTCTCAATCGATTGGTTTTCTTTCCCTTTTTACCATACCTCTTCTTTGATCTGCCACATTTTCTTTTGTTGGTCGTACTTGATAGGGTCCTTGATTGGTTCAAATCCAAGTAACAGTGTTCATCATGATCACCAAGAAGTTCGTATCTATTGAAATGAGAAGGGATGCATACTTGATCAAACATGCGATGAGCCATGTTGTTATTTCCACAAAATGAACAAATCCAGATCAATGTCAGGTCACTCAGTCTGTCTTCACAAGGGAATCCCATACATGTCACATGAAAATGCTTACTACAACAGTCACATCTTGCATCACTTTCATTTTCTTTGATTTCATTGTTACAGATACAGCATTCATTAAGCTTTGGTTGGTCACCAATGCACAACTAGTCAGTATATTCATGATTTCATCAAGTGTTTTCTTAAATTCAATTGTATCCATCATGGTAAATTTTGCTTATATACTTGCAACAGTTCTGGTTAATAATTACAAGTCTACAATTAACGGTTCTGTAACTTTGATATATATGTTCTGTATATATTCCTTACTCCAATAGTCTTTTATTTAAATATTCCTATTGTGAATTATGAAAAACTAATCCTTACTGATATTAAACTCTATGGTATTTCAATAGCCTAGCTTTATATACACTAGCTTGTACTGTGTTAAGGAGCTATAATGTTTTTGTCTCAAGATGGCGTTTTTTATTAAATTATGAGTAGGTCATTAATAGCCTAAATGTATTGTAGGCCTATATAAGTTCCCAAATTGCTAATTTCTTTGTTACTCTCTCTCTGCAAACAGGTTCACTTTATATCCTGACCAAAATATCTTTCTTATTCTCTCTCAAATCAATCAACCTCACTTATATTTTTAAAACTATATATATATCCTGACCCAATCTTCTTTCTTACTCTCTCTGCAATCAATCAAGCTTACTTTTATTTTTAAAATTCTGAACACTATTATCGAAGGATTTCTTTCCTTTTCTCTTTACAATCAACCACGCTCACTTTTCTAGGACTCTATATATTGACACAAATTTTTTGTGATTATGGTCTTATCAAGTTCTAGGAATTAGAATTAAATTGCTTTCTCGCTGTTGTTCTTCTTTTTATTTCAGTTTGCTTTTAATTCCTTTTAGAAACTGCCAATAATTTCTTTCTAATTTACAGTAATTATGTCTTCTAAAATGGCAATACAGTCTTTCAAACTTGCAATATTGCCTTCTTCACACTATTTTGTTCAATCTTCTTTATTCTTTGCTGTGTATACGCTCTTTTTACTTTCCCAAGATTACTAATACTACTGTTTTGAATTCTAATAGAGGTCTTATCAAGTTCTAGGAATTAGAATTAGATTGCTTTTTCTCTATTGTTCTTCTTTTTATTTCACTTTGCTTTTAATTCCTTCTAGAAACTGCCAAGATTTTGTTTCTAATTGACAGCAATTTTGTCTTCTAAAATCGTAATACAGTCCTTAAAACTTCCAATATTATCTTCAACGACTACTTTCCAATCTACTTTACTCTTTAAATGTATACCTCTTTTTTCTTTCCCAAGATTTACAATATTACTGCTTTCAACTGTAATTATGGTCTTATCAAGTTCCAGGAATTAGAATTAAATTCCTGTTCCTCTATTATTCTTCTTTTATTATTTCAGTTTACTTTTAATTCCTTCTAGAAACTGCTAATAATTTCTTTGTAATTGACAATAATTATGTCTTCTAAAATGGCAATACAGTCCTTCGAACTTCCAATATTTATCTTGAACGACTACTTTTCCAATCTACTTTACTCTTTAAAATGTATACCTCTTTTTTTCTTTCCCAAGATTTACAATATTACTGCTTTCAACTGTAAGTATGGTCTTATCAAGTTCCAGGAATTAGAGTTAGATTCCTTTCCCTCTACTGTTCTTCTTTTTATTTCAGTTTACTTTTAATTCCTTCTAGAAACTGCCAATAATTTCTTTATAATTGACAATAATTATGTCTTCTAAAAATGGCAATACAATCTTTAGAAATATTCTGTTCCAGTTTTGATTCGATTCAAGATTTCCAGATTCAAGTTTCATTCAGTATGTTTCAGATTCAAGGTTCAAGATAGTTCAAGTTCAAGTGCTAGTTCAAGTGTAAGTTCAAGAGCAAGTTCAAGTGCAAGTTCTTTGGAGAGTTCAAGATAGTTCAAAATAGTTCAAGATAGTTCAAAATAGTTCAAGATAGTTCAAGATAGTTCAAGTGCAAGTTCAAGTTCAAGTGCTAGTTCAAGTGCAAGTGCTAGTTCAAGTGTAAGTTCAAGTGCAAGTGTAAGTGTAAGTTCAAGTGCAAGTGTAAGTTCAAGTGAGTTCTTTAAGTTCAAGTTCTTTGGAGAGTTCTTTGGAGAGTTCTTTGGAGAGTTCTTGGAGAGTTCTTTGGAGAGTTCTTGGAGAGTTCTTTGGAGAGTTCTTTGGAGAGTTCTTTGGAGAGTTCTTTGGAGAGTTCTTTGGAGAGTTCTTTGGAGAGTTCTTTGGAGTGTACCACCCTCGGTCCTGCAAAAGACAGAAAGGAATAGAAAAAAATTAATTAAATTCAATAGACACGTCTGGGCAATTCTTGAGAAATCATCAAGGAGCTCGTAGGATAGAACCTTGTGGTACACCATTTGTTATAGACAAAAAAATTGAGGAATTATTATTATAAACTACATATTAGATCTATTAGAAAGATTACTTTCAAACCAAAATGACAGACAAATTTTAGTGTTGTTGTTGTAGTTTCCGAGTGGTGAGTCAACACACTGATTACTGAGCTGGGAGACATTGCCAGGCATAGCGCCATAAATCGAAACTAAAAAAAAAAAAAAAAAAAAAAAAATTTACTCTTTCGCCGCATAGGCCGCACCCCGACTTTTTGATATTTTCTCTTCCAATAATACTGCGGCCTTTACGCCGGCAAATACGGTAGTCACATTACCCAAAATTAGCCTGCTCGGCGGCCGAGCGGCGAGTTTTTAGCCAATTTTGCCCGGTCACCGCTCGTTTTTAAGGCATCGCTCGGTCGCTGCTGAAGTTTTAGCGCGGAGTTAAAATTCGGGCGGCGCCTGCTCACTTTCACTCGCCGCCCAGACTACGCTCGGCGACCGGGTGGTCGCCGCCCGGACGCCGGCCTAATCGAGCGTGCACCGTCGAGCGATTTAGGTCAACAATCGAAGCCCCTAGGTCAAAGGCTGTCGAGCAGTCGCCGCCCGGTCGCCGCTGGAAGATTAGTCGGTCACTGGGCGGCGAGTCCAAAATAGGTCGGCAGCCTTTGACCTAGCGCCTTCGATTTTTGACCTAAATTGCTCGGCGGCGAACGCTCGATTAGTTCGGTGCCCGGGCGCGAACGGCCAGGCACCGAGCGTATTTTGGAGCTCCGCCGATCACTGGCCGGCCGCCGGGCAATTTCTTTAAAATCAGCCGGGGGCTGGTGGGAGACCGCCCGGCAATCGGAGGGTCACCGGTCGGTCACTGCCAGACACCGCGCGAAAAAGCTCCGCGATTTCGCCCAGTTTTTACCTAAAATCGCTCGGCGACCGGTCGCCGCCCGGACGCCGCCCTAATCGAGCGTGCACCGTCGAGCAATTAAGGTCAAAAATCGAAGCCCCTAGGTCAAAGGCTGTCGAGCAGTCGCCGCCCGGTCGCCGCTGGAAGATGAGTCGGTCACTGGGCGGCGAGTCCAAAATAGGTCGGCAGCCTTTGACCTAGCGCCTTCGATTTTTGACCTAAATTGCTCGGCGGCGAACGCTCGATTAGTTCGGTGCCCGGGCGGCGAACGGCCAGGCACCCAGCGTATTTTGGAGCTCCGCCGATCACTGGCCGGCCGCCGGGCAATTTCTTTAAATCAGCCGGTGGCTGGTGGGAGACCGCCCGGCAATCGGAGGGTCACCGGTCGGTCACTGCCGGGACATCGCGCGAAAAAGCTCCGCGATTTCGCCCAGTTTTTACCTAAAATCGCTCGGCGACCGGTCGCCCGCCCGGACGCCGGCCTAATCGAGCGTTCACCGTCGAGCGATTTAGGTCAAAAATCGAAGCCCCTAGGTCAAAGGCTGTCGAGCAGTCGCCGCCCGGTCGCCGCTGGGAGATCAGTCGGTCACCTGGCGGCGAGTCCAAAATAGGTCGGCAGCCTTTGACCCTAGCGCCTTCGATTTTTGACCTAAATTGCTCGGCGGCGAACGCTCGATTATTTCGGTGCCCGGGCGGCGAACGGCCAGGCACCGAGCGTATTTTGGAGCCCCGCCGATCACTGGCCGGCCGCCAGGCAATTTCTTTAAAATCAGCCGGTGGCTGGTGGGAGACCGCCCGGCAATCGGAGGGTCATCGGTCGGTCACTGCCGGGACACCGCGCGAAAAAGCTCCGCGAATTCGCCCAGTTTTTACCTAAAATCGACCGGCCACCGACGGGAAATCGACAGGTCACCGCCCAGGCATCGCTGGGGCTCTACAGCCTGCTCGACTTCTCCAACAATCTATCATTTGCACTAGGTGTTTAAAAACAACAAACTTGTTCTTCTTTATCAACTCCTTACATAATTCAAGGATTCTCTTCAAATTTTGGCAACACCCAATGGAAGAGTATTGAGAATTGTCCACAAAATTATGTTACATACCTACGGAAGTGTCATAGAAAATTTCATTAAGCCATAGCTTTCCTATTCCGCGTTCAATTATGTTCCCAATTATGGAGATCTGTTTCATTCCATTGTAGCTTTATTTTAAAAACTACTTGACTTTAGCCTTCTTAAGCAGATCAACTTACTCTCTGCAACTCTCAGCAATCTTGAAAACAGTCAATAACCTGAAAGAAAAAAAGAAAGAAAAAAAACAATTGCATTTCATAAAATACCATATGATTATATTACAAAAATAAATACAAATAGTGAGCCCTCATTCAATGCTTAAAGATACTATGTCCCTTTTGCAGCCACAATCAAATTCTGTAGAACTTTATAGAATTATGAATATGTCATGTATGTCCTATCTGTGAAGTTTAAATGTTAGCAGTGTCCTAATATTCAAATTATGCAAAGAAACCCGTTTACTTGCTACATTAGCTTCACTGTCAGACACTATTGAGTGACTCACTAGCTTTTTTCTTCTTTGGAAATAACATACATGTACATAAAATGAGCTGTAAAGGGTATATGAGCATTTGTCAACATCAATATCCCACTTCTGCTTGTAATGGCCAAAATTAAACTGATTGAATCTTTGCGCAGCATAAAATGTACGACCATTCGGTACAATGGTCTGAAATCAGACCATTACTTACTGGCTCTATAGCTCTTAAGTCGATTTGACAACTAATAGTCGTTATTTTCCAACTTAAAGACATTTTCAAGCCCCCCTTTTTTTAGGGAAGTTCTAAATTAGTATTATCTTTCAAATGCTGTTGAAATTTAACCTTTTCATTTTGTTGGCCTGCAAATGGGACATAGTACCTTTGAAGGCAAAGACCAGTTTTGGTCATGCGATTGCATTGTGAAAAAAACGTTGTGGAATCGATCAGAAAAGGTTGCTCAGCTAGCATATAAGTATTGGTGTGATCTGGATCATCAAAATGATGAGATTTGACCCAGTCTTGGTAAAGTTACAAGCACTGTACACAGAAAGATGTATGTGGGACTACGCGACACACACAGAATAATAATTATTTAACTTTTGATTAACACAATAAGACTAACTAGATGGAACTTAGACTGCGTGCAGTCGAAAATGATGCCTCCGCTATAGAGCGATTTTACAAACCAAATCGGAAGCAATTTTTAATATTCAAGTTTGATTGTAATCCATTATCAAGTTTGATTGTAATCCATTATCAGGTTCTCAGAATATTTTGATTACAAGCTATTTCAGTTTGAGAGTAATGCCTCTGGCTACTTTGTAGTGGAGGCATGAAAATCGAGAATGATCTTATCTGTTTGGATTGAAATCAATCATATTGTGATGATAATTTCATCCATCAAAGTCCTTAGTAACTACCGTTCCAAAGATGGTGAAAATAAACAAGACATACCTCCTCGTCCCCTTCCTCCGCCGAATTCTCCCCTTCCGCGTCCACCGCCGCCTCGTCCACCGAAACAGCGTCCTCCTCCTCATCCACCAAATCCACCTGTAACAAACATTGTATGTCTAGTTAGAATCCACTGTATCGTATTTGTATAATAATTAAATTATATTATTAAAGGTATAGACCAGTTCTGGTCATGCAATTCAATTGCATTGTGAAAAGAAACGTTGTGGAATCGATCAGAAAAGTTTGATCATCTATAAGTATTGGTGTGTACTGCAAGGTTCTGGAATCATCAAAATGATTACAAAATTTTGCCCAGTTTTTGGTAAATTAAAAGCACTGTACACAGAAAGATGTATATGGGACTATGTGATATCTATCCAGGCCGAATCTATATTTTAACTAGATGGAATTCGACTGCGTGCAGTCGAAAATGATGCCTCCGTCATAAAGCAATTTTACAAACCAAGACAGAAGAAATTTTTCGAATTCAAATTCAATTGTAATCCATTAACAGGTTCTCAGAATATCGTGATTACAAGCTATTTTTGCATACATAATGAGCCCATGACCTTTGACCTTATGAACCAAGAATTTACTCAGTTCATTGGCTCTGCAAGTAACATACATGACCTAATTTTGTCAGGAATCCATCGGTTGGTTCTTGAGATAACGCGATCACAAGCTGTTTTTGCATACATAATGTGCGCTGTGGCCTTTGACCTTTGACCTCGTGACCCCAAAATTTAATCAATTCATCGAACTCTGCAAGTAACATACATGACCTAAGTTTGGCAGCAATCCATCAATCGGTTCTTCAGATAACGCGATCACGAGCTGTTTTTGCATACATAATGAGCCCTGTGACCTTTGACCTCGTAATCCCAAAATCTAATCAGTTCATCGGCTCTGCAAGATACATACATGACCAAAGTTTGGCACAAATCCATCAATCGGTTCTTCAGATAACGCGATCACGAAAACGGGACGTACGTACGTACATACAGACGACGGACAACCCGAAAACATAATGCCTCCGGCTACTTCGTAACGGAGGCATAACAATCAGGGTTTCATTCTCCTTTAAATGAAGTTGGGTGGGGTGGGGCAAGAGGTGGGACACATCACACACAGCACAAACCCATATCCATCGTAATTAATCATAAATTCATCAGATCATTAACAATTGTTATGCTTGGGGACTTCTCGCTCAGCCAAATTGAACAGCCAAATCTTGCACAATCTAATTTTCATACCCTGTACAAAAGTGGCCAGTGCTCATCCAAGTATGAATTATTATCACATGTGTTGGCATCATATGATAGACAAGAGCTTCACCCATCCATACATATGACAATTTCCCGAGAATGTTTCACATTTTTTATTTATTTGGCAGAATATTTAAAAGTTTCAACTTTGATTTTTTTAGACACTCGGTATACCTACACTCCAAAAACTTTTCTTCCGTCAAAGTCCAAAGCCCCTGTCAAAGTCCAAAGCACTGTCATCAAAACAAAAAATAAAAAGTACAAGTAAAACATGACAAAAATATAAAAACAAACAATTTAATAAACCAAGTTAGATTGCATCACAAATTCAACTTTGGTAACAACTAATTTGCATACTTTGATGTCACTCAAACATTTCATAATACAGTCCAACCTCATTATAACAATTCAGTATGTCATACATATCAACCATCAAGGCCCCATTGCATAAACTATCGTATCTTTACAATTAATGATATCTCTACAAACTATGGTAAATACCATTGATTTCTTGATTTTTATTAGCTAAGCAGTGTTTGCAGAGATACCATTAATTGTAAAGATACAATAGTTTTATACACAGGGCCCTGGGACTTGACAAAACACTACCTACCGTATGTACTTTTGATGCTAAATTAACATGCTACATTATTTTTCCCCAAAGGTCACCTACATTAATTATCCATCCTGATAGGTTTCTTTCAGATAGCATGAGGGCAGTACAAATATGTATCAGATTCCATTCATTCTTTTGAAGCCACCTAGCCATCATCAAAATTGTATTAAAAAAAGAAGAAAAAAAAGAAAAGAAAGGAGGCCCCCCCCCCCCCCCCCAAATGAAGCGGGCGGGGACTTAAGCTAAACATGTAAAAAAAAAATTAATGCCTAACTCAAATCTTTTGGGACCCATAAAATAGCTTTAACTTAGACAAATTTTGATTTAGGACGATCATAAAATATAGGACAAAACAGGTTGGGCTACGTGTAGACTTTCAA